TTCACGACTACTGAAAAAAAAAGAATTAAATACAGTATATTTCATAACTAGTAATCACCAACTCAGATAAATTACAATTGATATTCCATGTTTGTAGAAATAGGTTCGATCAGTCCAGTTTATGTATTTCAAAGTCATTCCAATACATACTATTAAATATCAAGTGAACTACTGCTTATACATCAAATTAAACATAAAGAAACAGTTATTTTCAGAAATCCATTCCAACAACTCTTTACTTTATTTCCTTTAAATTTGAGAGTTGTAGAACATGTACCTGGATAACGAAAATACAAGAAGATGAAGGAGCAGTCAACAACAGTAATAACACAACAACGCAGTGACAGAACAACCTAGTGACAGATTAAAAAGGAAGGAACCATCAGAGTTCCAGCAACACCCAATGAAAACAGTAGCCAATAACCAATAGCAAACTCAGGAAGAACCAATTGAAACCCCAGAAATACCAAACAGCAACACCAATGAAACAGCAACAGTACTAGTTCTGATATTCAACAGTAAAAGAAAAGACTCACTTTTCAATTTCTTAGCTCTCCGAACACTGAACCTTTTAGGATTAAAAACCATCCTGTTTTTTTACTCTCAAATTACTGAACTTTTAAATGTTAAAAATCCAGCCTAGACTCTCTAAAAAAACTGAAAGAGAACCCGATCTCCTTCTAAAAACCAGGCCCTATTTATAACCCAAAAATAGGTATGGGCAACATATTTTAATCAATCCTTTTTAAGCTTTTCATACTNTCAAAGGGGAAGAAAAATTATTTGGGATGATGGACTTTAAATTGATTTGGCCCAAATATGACTTAACACTCTTTTCTTTTTCCTTTCATTTTCTTTTAATTCCTAAAAACCAAAATTCCTAAATTAAATTGTAAAACCAAGATTATTTTAAGAAGATATTAATTTACCCTTAACAATAATTAACACACAAGATCAAATATTAAAATAAAATCACACAATTAAACAATAAAACTGACAAAACTACCAAAATTCATAATTTTTGTGATTTTCATTCTTTAAAATAGGACATGGTTTAATTAATTCCAAAAATGCATAATCAAATCATAAATATGCATGCAACATGTATTTTGGTATTTTTCAATTGATTAAAACAAGGTAAACATTCACAGACAAAAATAATTATCCAAAATGTCACGCAAAATTCTCAAAATTGTACCCAAAGGCAATTTGTTTTATTTTTCGATTTCTTTTGGAGTAGTTTTCGTGAAGCAAAAATCACGTGCTCACACAAGGTTCAATGGCCTCTCCGGTCTTGCTCTGACATATCCAAGCATTATGAGCCTATTTCTGACTTATCCGACTCAGATCGGACCTTTTCCAAGCCTTTCTCGCTTTAGGGTTCCTCTGAAACCCTAACTATTCGAGGTTTTCTCTGATTGTTTCCTTAAATCTGTTCTATATCTGTGCTCTACTTGTGTTTTTAAACTTTTTTCCTAATTTTTCTTTCGAAAATTACTTCTTCCGATTTAGGGTTTTTCTGAAAAGCTTAAAATGTTTCTCTGACTTTTCTTCTTCTTTTCTTTGTGTGTATTTGTCTATACTATGTTCTTATGTTTTCTTTTCTACCACGCACTGTAGACATGTGATTTTTTACCCTCCCCAATATTTTTATATTTTAGCATGTAAATATTTAATTTAGGCCTAATATAGTTATTTCAACACATTTTGACTCTTTTACTTTATTTTATTACAAGAAAAATGAAAATTACAAAATATTTTAGATTATTTATTTTTCATAAATTTTTTATGAAAAAAAAATAATATAAAGAATAGTACCTTATTTTTATCTTTATATAATTTCGAAAACACAAAAAATAGTTTCATGTTTAGTTTAATTAATTAGGATTAGCTTTGACATTTATTTCAAACCATAAAAATATAAAAAAAAATATATTGCATCTACATTTAGGATTTTATTTTACATTTTTAGATTAATTAAGTAAGTTGTTGTTTGACAAAAATAGAAAAATCATAAAAAAATAGTCATGTTGCATGTTACTCTTTAATTTCGAATTTTGGCAATTTTTTTTTAATTTGGTATTTAATTAGTTGTAATAATTATTAGGGTTAATTAATTTTTTAGGGTAATTTGGGTAGTCTAGCTTAGGGGAAGTGTTTACCTAACTTAGGAAGTTTCTATAATGGTAGGGTTTAGGAAATGCAATAGCTAAATTAAAAGGCACTAAGTTAAGTGGATACAATTAATATGAAGAAATGATTTGTAGTGGGGAGGAGCGCAGCATTACAAAGAGAAGAAAAAACGGAGCTGCTGAAAAAAGAGAAAAAAAACGCAGCAGTTGCTGCCCATCTTCTTCTTCAAAAATAACCTCAAAACAGCTTCATCTTCTTCATTCAATAACCACGAAAACCAGCTGAAACTTCATCCATTAAAACACTCCAAGATCAGCTCCCCACAGTTCCCGAAATCACCCACAAAGCAGCTAAAAAACAGCAACAAACCCGCCAAAAATCAGCGCAAAAAAGGCTGCCAAAACCGCCCAAAATCCAACTGAAAATCAGTCCGGAATGGCTTCATTCTCCACCTAAAAATACAGCAATAAAATACCCATCAAACCACTCTAAAAGCTGTTGATTTCACCCAGCAAAACACGCACAAGGTTCTTGAAATTGGAGGAGATCGAGTGAAGGTGCCAGCGAGTTTCAGTCGAGGTTCAAGGTTCGCTGGGGATTTTTCTTGCTATTTTCATTCCTTTGTACAGAAAGAGGTTAGATTCTCCAATATAAAATATCCAATTCTTTTCTTCAAAGGCGTAACTTCATTTTTGTTTATTTGTCAAACAGTTGTTTCTTTTATCAACTTTGTTGGTGCATTATTACTTTATTTACCATGAGTATTTGCTTTAGAATTATTTTTGTTACTAGTATGTTTATTTAAACAAGTGAACTTAATATAGAGTGAGATGCAAAAACAGAGCATAATAATTATATTGTTGAACATAAAGCTCAGATTCGTGTTTTCCTTTCTAATTTTCTAGTATTGATTTTAATTATTATTAATTATATTTTTCATGAAAGTTGAGAACAAGAAACACTAAAAATAATAGTTACGCTGGTCTAATAAATGGGCCAAATGTCCAAATCCAGAAGGCCCGTTCTTTAAATAAAGTTGACCAAGTTTTTGGCGACTAACAGATAGTCCCCAAAATCAAAATGCACATGATGCAAGCAAGCGCTCCTACTAGGGATCCGACATGAGGTTATGCTATACTAGGTTTGAAACCTGAATTTATTGTTCTAGACCTGGCTTACCCGAGCGGACAACTCGAGCCGAAGCGGGGGCAACGTACCGGGAGCACGAAAGTCTACCCGGTCTAGTTACTTGACCCAACCTCGTTTTACTTGGTATGACTTCTAACAGAAAAGTGGGCCACGCGCACGTGTGCACCATAAATTCAGAAGACTCAGAAAGAAGAAGGATTTTGTAACAGTTTATATATACAGTTCAAATAATATCAAAGCGGTAAAAAGCAACATTTAGCACATTAAGCCCAAACATGTGAATAAACCAGATAATAAATAAAGCCAAATATAACAATTATTCTAAGCTCAAATTCTTGAACCCTAAACCAGAGATTCTGGGTTCTTGTCCCCAGCAGAGTCGTCAGAGCTGTCACACCTCCTTTTTCACCTACACCCGCGTAAAGGGATGTATAAGGGAGTTTCTTCCAACTTAAAGTGACAATTAAAACGTGATTAATTTATTAAAAATTCAGAGTCGCCACTTAAGATAATTTATGGTGTCCTAAGTCATCGATTTAAATCCCGAATTGAGGTTAGTCTACCAGGAGCCAATTTTAGAGAGGTTATAGTAGCCCAATCTGTTAGTCGTGGAGAAATAATCCACAAAATCAAAAAAGAACCATTTGATCTGTATGTGACATTGGATAATATATTGTACTATCTAAAATAGTTGAGTCTTAACCATGATGTCATACACATTTAAATTTATGCCTTTAAATGAGCTGCAAATATTCTTTTTTGGGTTTGTGACCTTGTAGGGGTGGAACATATGATTCAGTATATAGAGATTTGATTTTTTTCCTTTTCATATGATTGCTCCTTTTTTTTTTCTGCAGTTGAGATGTCAGATAATATAATGGCTTATTGAAGAGCTTGCAAGGAACTGTATGGAAGTATTCTCGGTTCATCCAAGGGTCTTTATCACGACCCTAAACCCAAACTCAGTCGTAGTTACGCGGTCATGTTTAAATACATTGAGAAACGAAAATAATATTTAAATATGAAATTTTTATATTTCTATACACTATATGAAACTATATTATCCTCTCTGCTCAAAGTTTACTATAATTACATTTTATATACCCAATTATCATTTATGTACATTTTAAGGGAATTAATGATAATAATTAGTGTACTAAAATTACTCTAATGTATCTTCCACT